CTACAGCTCTGACTCCAGGTTGCTTTCATGCTATTTTAGCTTCTCTGGTAAGATTAGGGATGTTCAAATTACTTGAAAATGATTCTTAAAAGGATATGTAGGAAATGGAAACGGGGCAAAAGAAAAAAAAAAGGATGGAGCCTGGATTTTGCTTACTTCAGAAGGAAATTTGATACTTGCATTGGATAGTTGGATCCACAGAGCCTGTCTCTGTACTGGATGTGCCAAAGAGGAGTTCTTTCTGAATGTCTGGCTCCTGTGAATGAACACAACTTCCTCCCCACCTTTTACAGGTGAAAAGGGGCCATGTGATCAGAAGGACACATCCTGCATAAGACTTGAGACTGGTTCCCTGTAGTTGAAAGTTGGTGGAAAGTATTTTATCCTCCTAGAACTCTTAACCCTCCTAGAAACATCTTTCATGTCTTGATTGTTCACCTCATTGGGTCGAAAAGAAAAACAATGTGGCATAGTTTTGATGTTTACTTCTACAGTTGTATTTTTGAGGGTATATATGTGGCCTCAGAAAATCAGATGAGTTCTCAATCTTCCAATAATTCTAGTATGCATTTTATTCATTTCTGGACATGGGCATATGCAGTACTGGCTCTTTCCACAAGGGGGCAATAAGGTACTTTACCTTTATTCTCAGCTTATAAAGATCCCCTTTTAAGTCTTTTTCTGGAGTGCTGTCTCTTGACTCAGTGCTTATTTGTGTATCTTGATTATTTAAGGCATTTTCCCTCATTACTAAGACCAGTAGTTGCTTAGCCTTCATGATGCAAGCAAAGATTGATGTGCAGGTCTATGGTCCTTGTGGGTCAGGCAGTTCAATTAACTAGTCTTTGTTAAGAGTGGTGACCAAGATTACAAGCCTTGCCTTGAGGGATCTGCAAGTGCTGAATGCACAGCAGGAAGGTGACCCTCCTTATTTCCTTCTTCCACATCCCACCTGCAGCAACAGCAGCTTGGACCTCCTTGTCCAGGTAGGGTGGGGGAGATTTCCTGCAGCAGGCACTCCTCTAGTTTAAAACTCCAGCTGTGCTCTCTCTGTAGGGTGTGTGTTGAGGCTTCTCCCCCCTCATCAGCTCAGACCTGGAGTTTCATTTGAGCTCATTGCAGTAGCATCTTCATAGGGAACATGTCAGTCATCAATTAAGGGAAAACGCCAGGCTGTGAATATTTACCCTGCTGAGCCGGGAAGTATTTACACCCGGGAAGGCCTTCTTAACTGATTTCTGCCTGGCCCCCTTTTCCCTGCCAAGTCCGTTCACTTATAATTCCAACACTTTACAAAAAACAAAACTGAAGCTGCGATTGGTTTAGGTATCAGGTGCCCAGGTGCAATTTGTTTTTCATTTTGTTTTCCCCAACAGTACTGAAATCACTTGCACTTTCCCTCATTTCTTCAAGAAAAGAAAATCCAGTTTGCTTGCCAGGAATTGTTTAGCGTTAGGTTTACAAAGCTTGTTGTTGAATGTTGAATATTGTCCAAAGGAGTTTGACAAAATAGAAGCTGCTTGGTCCCTGTTCTGCCTGCTAGGTCATAAGGATTAAGGCCATTGGCTGGGGTACTTATGTCAAGTCCAGAATGGGGCAGTGTCCCTCTCCTACCTCTCTGTGGAGATGCTGTTGAAGATCAAGTTGGACTCGGTGTAGGGAAAGTATCTGTCATGCTGCAAAGAAGTTTAGAGGAGTCTTTCAATGACAGGTAGGTAGGACAGGATCTCTTAAGATGGGAAAGACCAGGGAGAGGAGGGCTGCTTGGCCCAAGGGAACTGCAGTGGGGTGGGCTCCTGAACCGGCTGGCACTGCCTGGCCTCCCTGGGTCATCTGTTTCCCCACATCCTGTCAGATCCCTCGGTGTGCTGATTTTCCCCCGTGTGTTAACTATACCAATATTATTTTTTTAGCAATTGAAATGCACTTTTTTATTTCAACTCAATCATGATTTTAAGTATAAAAAATTTATAGATTGTTAAAACTACTTTTTGTGTATTTTTAACCACTCAATGTAGCATTGTATATTTTATTCTTGTGAGACTCTGGTACAAGGTGTGCCGCTTAATGATTTTTTTTTTCTGAGATGCTGGGCCTTTGGATGTGTACGGTAACCAACTTAATGCTAATGTTCAAAGTAAAAAAAAAAAAAAAAGCATGTCCCTCCTGTGTCTTTCTTTGCTTCATTTCTTCCTTACTTCTGGTGAGCATTTTTTAGTTCCCTTGCTTAATGAATTTCCCTTTTAATATAAAATGAACAATCCTACAAGCCTTACTAGAGTGAATGACTATTGTCTCTGTGATGGTTATGGACGGCCCCAGACCACTACCCTGCCTCGTCCTTTGGGAATACTTGTCTTCAAGGCCATTGACCAAAACTAGACCGATTGCAGTGCTGCCTAGCTCCGTGCTCACTGGTCCCACTAACATTACTCTGTCCATTGGAGTGATAATCTGAAAATGTCCTTGGGAAGAGTACTTGGGGAAAGGATCAGGATTTGGGTTCTGAACCAGTTTGAAGAAAAATAAACAAAGATGCAAACAGCATACAAAATTTAGTCTGTGAGAAGAAGTGATTGTAAAATAGTTGGGATGAGACTTCTGTCCCCACCCCTGCCACCATTCATTCATTTAGTTATCCTGCATGTTTGCTGCTGGGAATTCAGCAGTAAACAAGACAGTCCCTACTCCCTGACACTTGCTTTCCAGTGAAGGAAACCCCACAATAAACAAACAATTATCAAATATAGTGTGGCCCATGTGGTCCCTTGTAATGTGTAATCGCCTCACAGGCACGAATGCACTGAATGAGAGAGCAACTAGTTTGTGTCCCAAGCTCCTCCACTCACGACCCACCCTGCTTTGTTCCTTCTAAGGATCTCAATGAGGGAGTTCAGTGCTTAGGAAGGAAATCTTATTGTTCCAGTTTCCCTTTGTATGAAACCTCTTAGAATGGAACAAAATTGGCCAAATCATAGAATTACCATTACATCTCTGTCTAGAGATGTGTTAGCACATTGCTCATCTGTACCAAGTAAATACTCTTCAGTGTGAACTAAATCAGTGCTTTCAAACTCTGGCCCTGAGTTTAATCAGAAATATATTTCACCAATATTTTGCTATCTAATTCACTTATATGTGATTTTTTTTTGGGGGGGGCAGTAGTGGGGATTGAACCCAGTGCTTCCTGCATGCTAGGTAGGCAAGCACTGTGCCACTGAGCTCCCATTTCCTTAAAATGTTTTTTTTTTTTTTTTTTTTGGGGGGGGGGGTACTGGGGATTGAACCCAGTGATGATTTACCACTGAGCCACATCCCTTGCCCTTTTTATTTTTTATTTTGAGATGGGGTCTTGTTAAGTCACTGAGGGTCCCTCTAAATTGCTGAGATTGGTCTCAAAGTTGTGATCCTCCTGCCTCAGCCTTCCAAGTCTCGGATTACCGGTTTGCACCACCATACACAGTTTATATATTTATGTAAATGAATAAAATTTTCAAGAAAAGGGGCTGGGGTTGTGGCTCAGTGACAGAGTGCTTGCCTAGCATGTGTGAGGCACTGGGTTCAATTCTCAAGATCACATGTAAACAAATAAAGGTGCATCGACAGCTAAAAAATATATATATTTTTTAAATAAAATTTTCAAGGAAAAATAGCTGTATATGCACAGTTTGATATTTTCTGTTTTTTAAAATGCTGATCATGAGCCACTAAATTTTAATAAGGCTCACTAATGAGTCTGACCTGGAGTCTAAAATATCTAAGGCTTACTGGTTTCTATTTCTGACTGCATCCAAACTCTTGAGAGTCCCTGCACAGATGAGCTGTTGTTTACTCTAGTGCCTTCAAATCCCAGACACAGGGTAGTCCTTTCTCCAGGTGGCCTATAACCCCCTGCTGGTATCACTATAGGTAACTATAGCCACTTCTTTGAAATATACACATAAACTCTCTTTTCAAGGCCTCCAAGGTATATCATCATAATAGTGATTTATGATGAGCCACACCTCCTTGTGTCCAAACCCTTTAGTGTGGTGTCCTTGCCCCTTCCACCAAGTTTCTGGTAAAAGGCCTGGCCATCTCCACACCCTTGATTAGGCTACCCTGGTGTCTTTTTTTTTTTTTTGTCTGTACCAGGGATTGAACCCAGGGGTGCTTAACCACTGAGCCACATCCCCAGCCCCTTTTATTTTTTGAGACTGGGTGTCACTAAGTTGCTTAGAGCCTTGCTAATTTGCTGAGACTGGCCTTGAACTTGTGGCTCCTCCTGCCTCAGCCAGCTGAGCCGCTAGGATTACAGGTGTGTGTGTGCCACTGTGCCCAGCTGGCTGATGACTTCTTTTACCAATAGAATATTGCAAAACTGATGTGCAAATCTTGGAACCTGTGGGACAAGACACTTTGCAGCCTCTGACTTTATTCCCCTGGAACATGCGAGATGGCCAAGTAATGAGAGTTCTCAGTGTCCCTGCCAGTCCCAGACATCGGCAGGGATATCTCAGACCCTGCAGCTCTGCAGTTCCAACAACTAATTGCATGCTTAGGAGCCTCGGTAAGATTGGCAGAGTAACTGCCCAGCCAACCCACAAAATCGCCAGACGCCAATTGCTCTTGTAAAGCCACTAATGCTTGGAATAGTTGGTTATGCAGTAGCAGATAACTCGGTGGGATATGGAGGTACATGCCAATATTTTCAGAGACTTGGGAGCCCAAGGCAGGAGGATCACAAGTTTGAAGCCCAGCCTATGCAACCTAGTGAGATCGTCTCAAAAAAAAAAAAAAAAAAAAAAGGACTGGGGATGTGATAAAGTGATAAAGTGGCTATAGGTTCAATCCCTAGTACCAAAAAAAGAAAAAAAAATTAGCCCACAGATTTTGTTCTAACATGGAGATCTTTGTGCAGACCCTTCATTACTGGAGTCCTAGGTCAGAGGTGACTCTGGGGATCCAACAAATCCGGTCTGACCACTCACCCCACCAAAAACCAAATGGAAAATAATGGGGAACGGCGGGAAAGAAGTTTTAATCAATGTAGGTCTACCAGGAGGACAGGGTTATCTGCCTTTGAAGGGTTAACATTGACTTTGAGGTTTTTCTAGGAAGGGAAGTGAGGGCAAGGGCTGGAGGGTTTGCACAGCTGCCAGCACAGGTGCTCTTGATAGGGGTGGTCTGTCCATCCTTATCTCAGGATTTGTCAGGTCTTGTCAGGTTAAGAAAGTTGATCTTGCCTAGGGCATAGTTTTGACTCTTGTCATAAGACTTCTTGTTCCTGAAATCCAAGGTGACTGCAGGAGAGAAAGGCTCAAGAGAACTCGGAAAGACAAAAAAATCAAAGTCAGAAAGTCAAGATGGAGTCAGAGCTGAGTTAGGTTGGTAACTAGGTCCTCCTTCACCTTGTATAAGAAGCTTAACATTTTTGGCCTCAACTATTAGTTTTAGCTAAATTATTCCTATTCAGTTTATTTTTTACCTCAATTTCAATCTGTAGTTGGTCAAGGAGGGTTTCCACTTGACCATGGCATCCCTCACCAATGGCACAACCGTTTCAGGATTGCTTTCTTTTTTTTTTTTTTAATTTTTTTTTATTGGTTGTTCAAAACATTATAAAGCTCTTGACATATCATATTCAGGATTGCTTTCTACCACGTTTTTGTTGTGCTCTTCCCTGTTCCTTGAACTTGTAGATTATGAGATGCCTGGTTTAGAACCTGCTGCCTGATGCATCTCGCCCTTAACCCACCCTGCAGTCCACCCTGCACTGGACACACAGTAGCCTTGATCTGACTTCACTGTTCTGCAGCAACTTTGCATCCTTCCCAAAATGTTATTGAAGGAGATACTTCAGCAAAGGAATTAGAAACACGCAGGCTTGTTCTCAGACAGACCTGTGTTAAGGCTTTTCTCTCCCCAATAGTGTCTGGTATGGCTATGAGCAAGTAATTTAACCACTTCGAGCCTGTTTCCACACCTGCAGATGGGGATCATCATGGGGGTCTTCGTGAGGATTAAAGAAAGCGATGCAGGTAAAAGGCTCAGCTCAGTGTTTGAGAGGTAGTGTCAGGGACAGGTGAGAAACTGATGTGACTCCATTTTTGAGAAACCAGCCTCTATCTCAGAGCAGGTCCTGTCCAAAGGGGAGGAGGAATGACCCTTTCTTTGTCCTTGGAAAACCCATTCCTAGGCACATAGCTAACCTGCTGAGTCATTTGTCTGTACCAGACACCAGACGTCCTTGACTCAGCAAATGCAAGTTCCTGAAAAGACCAGAAGAATGCTTGAGAACTAATTTCGGACCATAGCAACAACCAATCAGAGTGAGACAGGGAAAATATCTGAAATGCCAGGTGGCCCTCCCTGTAGTTTCTGTGATTGATAATATGATTAGGCCACCCTGCAGTTTAGCGTATACACTCTTGCAACCCCTTGCGGCCTAAAGCAATCAGTTCAAATGTATCCACCTCTTGAACTCACCAGTCACCCTTACCTGACTTGTTCCTGCCAATGAATGTGCTAATCAATGTTAAGAGTTGTTGTTTGACTTTCCTGAGGTGTGAAATGATTTGCTGTGTGATATTGTGACACATAGAGTATCCCCCCAAAAAAACTATAAATCCTCACTGAATTAAGGGCCAGGACTCACTCCTCGAGACCGCTGCTCGAGCTTGCAATAAAGACTCTTGTGTGATTGCATCGGATTCGGCTCCTGGAGGTCTATTGGGGTCCCACGAATCTGGCATTTCACAGGCAGCTTCCTCAAGGATATCTCCAGTGATCCCCACCCCCTGGTATTCATACCCCTGTGTAATCCCGCCCCCACCGTGCTTGTTCTGGGCTGGACTTAGTGATTTGCTTCTGACAAATACAATATGTCAGAGGCGATAGTGGTGGCACACACTGTTAATCCCAGAACTCTGGAGGCTGAGGCAGGAGCATGGCATGTTTGAGGACAGCCTGGACAACTTAGGGAGACTCTGACTCAAAATATGTTTTTAAAAAAGGGATGGGGGTGTAGCTCATTGGTAAAGTACCCTTGAATTCAATCCTCGGTAAAACACACACACACACACACACACACAGATGGTATGTCACTGGCACGATGAAGTTAGAAAGACACTCTCAGATGTGGTTTCTTACTCTCCTGTCCCCATCTGCCATGTCATAGGACACAGACAGCCGATGGAGGACATGCTGTAGAACTGAAGCCTGCCAGCAACCCTGTAGGTGAACTTGGAAGTGGATCTTCTGAGGTCTGCTAGCGGTCACACCAGATAAAAACTGGAAATGAGCTTCCAGCTACAAGAGAGTCTGGAGGTATCTGGGGCAGGAGCTTGATGGCAGACACAGGCTGAGCCAAGTTCAAATTCATGGCCAATAGAAACTATGAGACAACAACAAGTGTTTGTTGTTTTAAGCTGAAAATTTGGTCCTCGTCCCTGGGGCCCATAACATGACACAATTTTGGGAAAAAGGGAAAAAGTTAAGTTTTATTGCTTCGCTAGCAAAGGAGAAGCACAAGGGACTCCTGTCCCAGAGGCTGTGACTCTCTGCCCATCCCGGGGAACAGATGGTTTTTAAAGAGGTGATGCAAAGGCTACATTCCATGTGTTCTGTCTGGAGTTGGAATTCACTTGTTAATTGGGGAGGTAGTCATTTCTGAGATCTTGTGTTGCCATCCCCAAAGTCTGGATTACTTCCTTCCTGTGGTATGTGTGTGTTCAAGGGCAGATAACGCCTCCTAGCATGGGGAAGAAAGGCAATGCTGTTTCCCCTGAGATTAGGGAGGGGGCGAGATTAGGAAGGAGGAGGGAGAAGGCAAGAGAAACATGTCCTTTTAAAAATAAGTCACAGTGGCAGAGCAGCAAGGGCTATATTCAAAGCATAAAGTGGACCTCTGTCAGGAAGCCGCTCCATTTTGTGGGTAATTTGTTGTGCATCAATAGCCAACTAATAAAAAGTAAAAATAATAACTATCGGAAGATACAACAACAACAACAAAAAACAACAACACATGAGCCAGTTGCTGTGGCACATGCCTGTAATTCCGGTGGCTTGGGAAGCTAAGGCAGGAGGATCATGAGTTCAAAGGCAGCCTCAGCAACTTAGCAAGGCCCTGTCTCAAAATATAAAAAGGGCTGGGGATGTGGCTCATGATTGAGTTCAATCCCTGGTACCCAAAACAACAACAACAACAAAAAACCCAAAGCCAACCAGGATAGTGGGGTGATGGGGCACTGCACCAATTGCTCATGGCTTACTCTTGGCCTTACCTCCCCAGCAGTTGCTCTCAGGAAGATGGTCTCCTCCCCTCCCCAGGGGCAGCCACATCCTTGACTGGTTGATGGAGAGCTTTGCCTTGGAGGAGCCTTTCCTGAACGCCTGTGAGGTCATCCTTGGTCCTTGTTGTGACAGCAGCTCAGCTCGACTCCATCCTTTGCCAGTCCTCTTCCTTCACCCCCCAGGTTTGAGTTCTCAGTGTTGGAGCCAGTGCCTTGGAAATCTGCTGGGGCACCTTGGTTGGTGCCAGGAGTGGTTCACGGATTCCAAAGTGGGGGTTTAGTGGGCAGAGCTGAGCGCCCTGCCAACTGAAGGACGGTCATTCAGACTGAGTGGTTGGCCTTTGGGGATGCACTGAGCTGCCATATCACAGACCCTTGAGATGAAGGAAGTACTAATTCTCAGCTAGTCCAAGGCTCTTCTTGATGCTTTAGAGGAAGATGATGAAGGGCTGTGATGGTTCATTCTCTAGTTGAAGGCAAGAGTGAAACTGCTCAGGTTTCACTGCCACCGTTGTGACCCCTGTTACACAGCAATAGACAACTAAAACAGATGTGGGATCTTGGAACAAGGTGACATAACACACATCTAAAAATGTGAGAATGGCAGTTAAATTTATAATCCCAGTGACTTGGGAGGCTGAGGCAGGAGGATCTACAGATTGAAGGCCAGCCAGCCTCCTCAGCAATTTATCAAGGCCTTAAGCAACTTAGCAAGATCCTGTCTTAAATTTTAAAAAAAATTAAAAAGGACTGTGGGATGTAGTTCAGTGATAAAGCACCCTTGGGTTCATTTCCAGTACAAAAAAAAAAGGCGGGGGGAATGGCTTTAGAATTGGACAGGTGGGTGGAGTCTGGAAGAATTTTGAGAAGTTTGATAGAAAATACTTAGATTCCTTCAATAGAACTTCAGTAAAAATATGGACACTGAAAACACTGTTGATCAGAAGACATGAGGATTATAAATTCTATAGAATTTGCAGAAATCCTAAATTGCCTTAGAGAAAGCCTCAGTCTCCAGGAATGGTCCATCAGTAGAAGGCTGTCTTGACAAGCTGTGAGAGCCTAGGAGAAGTGAGGAACAGGTGGCTGTTGGAAGCCACAGGAGGGGGACTTTTGTTAAGTGGCAGCAGCAACCTTATCAGAATTTTGCCTAACTCCTGTATGGAAAACGGAATTTAAGGTAGGCATAGCACAGACACCTGTAAACCTAGCCACTCCAGATGCTGAGGCAGGAGGAGGAAGGCAAGTTCAAGGCCAGCCTCAGCAATTTAGCAAGACCCTGTCTCAAAATAAAAATAAATAAATAACGCTGGGCGTGGTGGCACATGCCTGTAATCCCAGCAGCTTGGGAGGCTGAGACAGGAGGATCAGGAGTTCAAAGCCAGCCTCAGTAATGGTGGGGTGCCAAGCAACTCAGTGAGACCCTGTCTCTAAATAAAATACAAAATAGGGCTGGGGATGTGACTCAATGACTGAGTGCCCCTGGGTTCAATCCCTGGTACCAAAAATAAATAAATGAATGGATAGGGCTAAGAATAGATAGGGCCCATTATCAGTGGGCTAGCACACTGGTATAGTACCCCTAGGTTCAATGTCCACTACTGCAAAACAAAAAAAAATGAGAATGAAGTTCATAAGCAATGCACTTGGATGTTTAGCCAAGGGGATTTTCTAGGCAAAATCTGGTTTCTTTTTGCTGCTTGTAGTAAAGTGTAAGAAGGGAGAAACAAATGGAGGAAAAAACCTATTAGACCAAAAGCAGTTAGAACTTGATCTGGGAAATTCTTAGCCAGATTGTAAAAGATACTAAAATTCAGAAAAAAAGCTGCCTCAAACTGGCTTAGCGATAAGAGCAAGTGTGGGGCTGTACAAATTTTTTTTCTGAAATCTCAGATGAAAATGTCAGAAGAAGGGCTGGGGCTGTAGCTCAGGGGCAGAGTGCTTGCCTAGCGTATGTGAGGCACTGGGTTCGATCCTCAGCACCACATAAAAATAAAGAAATACACAATAAAAAATTAAAAAAAAAAAAAAAAAAAAAAAGAAATAAAATAAAGTGTGCATCTACAACTAAAATATTTTTTTAAAAGTCAGAAGAAATTAAAAGTTGTTATTAGTTTCATAAGTTTTCCTTCATGAAGTATCACAAACTGGGTGACTTAAATAACAAATATGTACCATCTTAACATAATTCTGAAGACTTCAGGTACAAGATCAAGATGGCGGCAGGGGCAGGATTGGTCCTTTCTGGAGTCCATGAGAACCTGCTCCATGCCACTCCCTTCACCTCTGGTGGTTCACGGGCAATCTTTAAAGCTCCTTGACTTGTAGAAGCATCCTTCCAACCTTAACCTTCACATGAGACTCCCCTTGTGGTGTTCAAATTGCCTCTTTTTACAAGACCCCAGTCCATTGAATTAAGGGCCCAAACTTACTCCAGTTTGACTTCATCTTAACGAATTATCTCTACAATCACCCTATTTCCAAATAAGGTAACATTGAGGAACTGGGTGTTGGGACTTCAACATTTGAATTTGGGGAAATGAGATTCAACCTCTACTGAGGATAGTCCGCCTAGATCTTATTCATTAAACCACAGGGTTCTAGGAAGCTCACAAGAGGTCATCCTTGGGACTGGTGATGTGACTGAGAGATAGAGTGCTTGCCTGGTATGTGTAAGGCCCTGGGCTTGATGACCAGCCCCATTAAAAAAAAAAATTGTTCTCAGTGTTCTCCATAGAAAACAAATATAAAGAAGGGATCATTCTAGAAAGATGTGGGGAAGAAAATTTTTGTCTAATGGAGTGAATCTCTGCAAAATCTATACAAAGTCCATAAGGTCCTTGAAAATTTTATTTCAGTAGGAACACTGTGAACTGTACTGAGATAGAGAACAAAATGAAAGCTTTTTGGTTCCCCCAAATTTTACTGGCAAGAAGCAGGTTGATCAAACTCCGTGTAAACATGTGGTATCTTTTATGAAAAAGGAAAGATGACTCAGGGTGGCCCCAAGAGCCCAGAGGGCAGAGTCAAGATCCATAAAAGATCATTCTCCAGGTCTTGAAACCTAAATGGAGTTGATTTTTTTCCCTTCAAGCCTAATGGAACTTGTTCAACTGCATTTAAAAACCGTTTTGGATGGGTGACATTTCTCCCTTGTTGAATTAAATATAATTGCATCCGATGGCTTTTTTTTTTTTTTTTTTAAGTAATAGAGATTGACCCAGGGGCACTTCACCACTAAGCCACATCCCCAGCCTTTTTTATCTTTTCTTTTTAATTATTTACTTTTTTTTTTTTTTTTTTTTTGAGACAATGTCTCCCTAAGTTGCTGAGGCTGGCCTCAAACTTGCAATCCTCCTGTCCCAGTCACTGAGATTACAGGCGTGAGCCACTGTGCCCAACACTATCCCACTATTGTCTATCAAAACTCTCAGAGGGTCTATAGTTTTTTTTTTTCTTTTTCTTTAATTGCATGGGCTCATAGCTGGAGAAGGAATGTGCTTGGGAGATGCACTTAAGACTCATCTGCGCTTGATTCAGGTAACAAAATTTTGGACTTTTGAGCTCATGATATATAGATGGGATTTGGGGCATTGAATTGATATTGAAATTGGATGAGGTTCTTGGGCATCTTGAGAAGAGGAGAAAAAAATAATATATATATGCCTTTATTTTACTTATTTTTGTGTGCGGGGCTATGGATCAAACCCAGTGCCTCACACATGCTAGGCAAGTACCACTGAGCCCCAGCCCCAGCCCAAGGAGAATGTATTTTGCATTTGATGGGGAGGGGATGAGAATCTTTTGGGGCCAGAGGGTAGACTGGGGTAGGCAGAATTCTAGAAACGGTTCTCCAGGATTCTATACCTTAAGTTCCTGGAATCTGTTAAAGTGATGGATGTTGCTCCCTTGATTATGGCATGGTTAACCAGATACCCTAAGCAGAACCCAGTCAAGCCTGCTCAGGCTCTGGGCCCCTGGAACTATATGAGAATAATAATAAATAGATGTTGTTTTTAGCTGCCATCTGTGGCAATCTGTTGTCCAACAATGGAATTAGTGCGGCTGCTTTGTAGTGTACAAGGAGAAATTCATCTCCTGCAGCCAGAAGGCAGAAAAGTCGAGGACCAGGCCTGGAACATAATTAGGAGCAGCAAGACTACAGAGAGAGCTGAATTCTCCTCTACTGCAAACCTGCTATGACAAGAGTAGGGCCCTGGCTGGGAGGGGTGGGACCCTGAGATTAGGGATGGGAACATCTAAATCCACAAAATCCCAGCTCTCCCTCAACCCTCTGGCACTCTCAACATGGTCCACTCCTCCCTGGAGGAGGCTAATGTTCCCCTCTTGATTGGAGATGCAGGAGTCTGTGCTTTGCAAAAACGCACATCTCCTGAGATCCACCCCCATCCCTGCTCCTTGCCATCAGATCAACTACCAGGGTCAAGTTGCAACATAACCCAGCTACGGGTTTTTGTTTTTTTTTTTCTTTTCTTTTTTCCTTCTAAAAGAAGTAAAGGACTAAGCCAGTTGTCTTTTAATCAATTAATTTTAATTAATTAATTTATTTATTGGCTCCTAGCTCCAAACACATCCTTCATTGTCTTCTCTGTGAAAATGAATCTGAACCCTCTAAGTATTTCTCCTCCATCAGTTGGCATGATGTCAAGCTTTGTCATCAGAGGCGACCGGAGAAACTTGGCAGAAGGAAAGTGCTTTCCTTCCTAGACTCTTGGCGGGTTCCTGTGGCCTACTCGCCCCCAGCTCCTGCAGCATGGGCAGCTTCTCCGCTGGCCAGCCCTAGTGTGTGGCAGGCAGCCGCGCCGGCTGGCCAACAGCCCTGTCGGCCCAGGGCTTTCCCAGGCACCCTAGAGGGTGGGTTTCTGGTGAGTTCTACAGGGCAGATGGGTTTAGCTCCATAGTGACTTTTTGCCATCCATGGAGCCTTGACCCTGTCCTGACAAGATCTAGGCTCATCCTTGGGATGGCTTCTTCCTTGAGTGCTCTCTCAGCATTATGAGTAGGAGCTGTTCCTAGATTTTGCTCTTCCTAAATTGTTTAGAGTTCCTTTTATTTTTTATTTTATTTTTGGTACCACGGATTGAACTCAGGGGTGCTTAACCACTGAGCCACATTTCTACCCCTTTTTTATATTTTATTTAGAGACAGGGTCTCCCTGAGTTGCTTAGGGCCTTGATAAATTGCTGACTTTGAGCTTATGATCCTCCTGCCTCAGCTTCCTGAGGCGCTGGGATTACAGGTGTGAGTTCCCGTTATTTTTTCCTAACCAATCCTTCATTGCTCTAATTTCCTATCATACCTAGTTTACTATCAAACTTCCCCTTGGCAGTACTTTGTTGTTGTTGTTATTGTTGTTGTTTGTTATTGTTTGACCCTTGATTGGACTCCCGCCTGATTCAGGGTCTATGTCTGAAGGAGTTACAGGAACTAGTGGACACACACTGGCAGAAGCCAGGATGCTGTTGTGGAATGGGA